TCACAATATACGATATAAGCTTCAAATAATGTTAATGTAATCTTCCTGTATCTCTTATTTTATACACAGCCACACTAGCGTGAATGGATTTGTATTTGTAGTTCTTTAACATCCGTTAATTTCTTGCTAGGTCATAATTCTGTATGTACCAATCAACAGTATCTTTAATGGCTTGATTAAATGGTGTGAACTGAAAATCTGGTAAATATTTTCGTAGTTTTGCATTGCTTGCTGTTTTCTTATATTGTCCATCAGCAGCAGATGTATCATATACTAATTTTCCTTTGAAATTGAAAGCTTGCGCAATTGTCTCAGCTACTTGAGAAATTGTAACTTCTTGGGATTCGTCAACTATATCAAAGATAAATTTAAAATAACACATATCAGCGTTTAATTAACACTTTTTTAATTACCTGATAATATAATTGGTTCCACAGAGTTATACTCTCTCAACACCCATATTATTAACTTAGCTAAATCTAAACTGTAAATAAATTGTCTTAGTGGCTTTCCAGAACCTAATATGGTAAATACCTTGTCTTCAGTATTTCCTAAAAAGTATGCCAACAGATACTGATATCATTCTTCAAAATTAATGATTTATAAAAATTTTATCGATAATATTTCATACCATCTTTTATCAAATCATAAAGCCTGCGCATTAAACCTGGTATAACATGACTGGCACTAGGATGAAAATTATCATTTGGCCCAAACACATTGCACGGAACAATACTGGTATAAATCCTACCGTATTGTTCATGATAACCTTTATTTTGGATATCTATAAGACGTTTAGCATAACTATAGCCATAATTTGATGGATGAGGTGGACCATTATGAATCTAAGGAAATAAACGTTAAAGTTTAATAATAAAAAAGTAAAGCCTTAAAAATTTATAAAAAATAATGTTACCATAGATTCATCAATAGGATATGTTGTTTTGTCAGGAAATATGCAAGTTGATAAACATGATATGACTTTGACAACACCATTTTCATGAGCAAATTGTAACACATTATCATTCATGTGAATATTCTTACGCTAGAAATTCATAACATATAATTTAATCAATTCAGTAAGAATAAAACAGTAACTAGCAAAACTTCATTTACCAAAAAATCTAAATTGTGTCCCATATTATAAAACAAGCCACCAACCATAGCAGCTAAGTGAATAACATGTGTAGGCTTATGTTTTTCAAACAATTTCTCTGTACTCCTTTTGTCACTGAAAATAAAATACGTTTTATTTGCACTCCAACTAAATAATTAATCTATTGTAACAATTAATATATAAATTACCACAAGTCTGCATCTTTAGAGCCAATAAATATCCATTTCTCATTTTCATTTTTACTTAATTTAATGGCATTTTGAATAGCTTTACCAACTAATCCAGTTCCACCCGTTACAAGTATAATCTTTTCACCTTCAGACATATTTCATGAAATATGAAATCTGTACAAAAAAATTCAAATTTTTTAATTTAAGGTTTCCTTATTTTTTATAGATTTAATGATATTGAAAAATTTTTATTTTTAAATAAAATATATATCACATTAAATAATATATAGTTATAACATGATGTCAGCATATGGTTGTTAATCAAGTAACAAATTTTGAATTTTTATTTTATTTTTAGATCATTACATGTTGGCAGCAATGATAATTAATAACTTTCACATAGAAACACTATATTAATATCAAATAAAATAGATCACTTACAATAATTATATCCAAAATTGATGAAGTTAGAGGTTCGAATTTTACTATAAGATAACATTTATTTTGCCACCTGTCACAGGAATCTACTATCTTATACTATACACGAAATATATCATTAAGAACAGACTAGACCTACATACAGTGATTTTTCAGTCCCATCGTTGACTAACTTGGATAGATCGGACATCCAATGCTTTTTTCGTATTCCAGGTTTTGGGGGGTCATATGACCCGCTTACCATTTTCGTGTCACATCCTATCATATCGACTTAGGTAAGTATTGCACCGCGACACAGACGAGATATATGAAAGCAATAGATAAGGAAAGCAATAATATATAACAAGGATAAACTAAGGCAATGTGATAGACAAGGAATACATTAGTGTACGATAAAGATAGCATTAAATTTTAGCTCTACCGTTTCATCGCTATACGGTGTTATTTCAGCTTCCATGAATCGACTAAATTTTCAATTGCAAAAAACCTGATTAAGAAGATTAATATACAAACTTTTGCAGTTGTATTTTTGTTTTCAAATCCTAAGCATCCTTTCTATATTCCATTTGCTTTGTAAAATGTATAAATAAAGATTTATAAATTCTATTCAACAGATCGAAGCATTTATTCGAGTAGCTATAAAATAAAATTTAGTTGTAAAATTACATTATTAAAGGAACTAGTTTATAAACTTTTGTGGCTCTATCTATTAATTGGATTCTCAACTCTTTTTCCTCATTTCATTTGAACTTGCACATTTTGTAAATTTGATATGCAAATTCATGCTCATTAATAGAGGGAGGGGATTACATTACAATTTTCCATTATTATATCTCAATCACGTAGAGATATAATCAAGTTCGATTTTGGCAGTGTGATTTATTTTATATTTCATAATTATTTTAATACAAAATATTTACAACGTTTGAAAGATGGTGATTATTAATCAAGGCTGATGGCAGTGTTTGTACCCGATACTTTTAATAATCTATCAGAACTCTTTGATAAACGTATTCTCTCTTCTGGTTTTAAAATTTCGGCTATTATCTTCTCATCGCTTCGTCGTTCTGATTTGCGCAAAAGCTCTTGCGATTTATTGCATTGTTGAGTCACACAGGAATCACCTCCCGTCTCCTCGGCAACAGCATCTAACTGCGCTACCTGAATCTCAGGAAAAGTAAGTCTTCCATTCACCTTACTTTCTGAAGGCACATGAGAGTCGGGTTCAAGTGCCGCAGAAATGGGAGATCGCAAAGATTTCTCATCATTGCCATCATTTAATTTTAGAACATCAGCTGCTTCTACATAAAGCTGTATTGCGATGTTAAAGTTAGAAATTTTTTTTGCACATCGTAATTATAATTTTTTTTTTTTGTAATAACTTACTGCTTCGAATGTAGAATCTAGAAATAATTCTTGTAAGAATCGACGTGCTGGCATTCTATATGTATTACTACCTAAACGAGCAGCTACATCCGAAAATAAACAAATATCCTGTAACGTAAAACACATACATGTATAAATAACAAATTATATATTAGTATATATTAGTATATTAATATATAATATATTAGTTTTTATTCTTGAAACTATATTTATATATATACCTGAAACCTCTCTGGATGTAATTGCCTTAATCTAAGCAAGGTTTGTCGACTATTACGATACCATACAGGGTTTGCCAACCGTTGTGCATGCCTAAGTATTTTCCTATCAGAATAATACATTAATTTTAATGTAATTTTGATTTACTAAAATAAATCAACATTATGTACTTATAATGAACCGTTTTATATTTATTTTACAGTTAATTAATGTTACCTCTGTAATTTTAAGTCTTTTTCTGGAATCGTATCTTTGCTGCTACTTTTACCGTGAGAACATACTAAACATATACGATAATGTTCTGCGTCTACGTCACATTCTGAACAAGATTCCTCATCTACTTCGGTCGTTTCTACGTCAGATTTAGGTGCATCATCTAGTGTTATAGCTGGAACCGACAGTTGTAGTGGTTCCGGAAAAATAGTTATAAGTCTCTTTGGAAGGGCAATACCCATGTAAAATAAATTATCATTATTATCGTCGGGAGGTGGAGGTGTTGGAGTGAGTACTTGTTCCACAATCCAGTTGCGAGATGAATCACATTCAGATAAACTTTGTAATGAAAGTCGACCGTCTAAACTATACATCTAAAATGAAATAAATCAGTTGAATTAAATGTTCTATGAAACAAAAGATCAATTTCTAAATATTCTTGCCTCTAAGCTACTTTGGGAATAACTCGGTCTCCGATGACGTTGCAAACTACGAAGTCTTGCATATCCCTCAGCATCTTGTTGGCTTAATCTTTGAATACTTGAAACAGGACTTGGTGTTTCACCTCTTTCTCTGCAAAAATATACAGTAATAAAGAATTTAAGCTTTTAACTAATACAGAATTAAAACATCACCCTTACGGTAGAGCATAGCGTCTGGCCTCGAGATCCGTAGCTGCACTTTCAGATCGATTTCTGGTTCTTCGAGCAACTGGTTCAGGTAATTCTGGTTTGCCATCGCTAAGACTCCGATGATGTCGTTGTATAGGAATCGGGCTTGGCGCTGGATATCTGTTCGTAGGAGGAACGACTGGCCAGTGATCTCCACGTCTGTGTCTAACACATGGCCAGTCAAAAGCCGATAATGCATCTGCACCTGCACGAGTAGTAGCAATGAGACTAAGAGCATACATAGCTGTTGCTCGTACTACATAATATGAACACGTTTCTGCTATGGAAGTTAACAATTCTAGAATTCCTGCATGATTCAATTGTTCTACTCCTGCTGCTGACGTTCCCATATGGCCAAGCGCCCATAGCGCAGACTTTACTTTTAAAATTCTTTTACTTAAGTTCGTTTGATCGTCTCGAGATTCAGGCTCCAACTTCCAACTCCTTTCTAGAGTAGTTCGTCTAGAATCGTCTAGACTTGTTTTCCGTCGTATATCTATCAGAGAGTCAACTTTTTGCGGATAATTTATATCCACACCTTCCATAATTTCGGAATCCATTATTGTCTCTAATCTATTAGATTCTACGGTTTCATCTGTGCCAGATTCTTCAGACATAGCGCAAGTATCATCAATCACAGAACGATTAGTTTTAGTACACCTTGAGTTTGATTCTGAATCTCTGCTACCGAATTCCAATCTAAATCTTTGAACAACACGGATAAAACGTTGTATTACATTTCGACGTAACAACAGCTGCATGCCAAGATCATGTTGCACCAATTGACCTATTAAATGTGGTAGAATAAAAATATTTTGTGGTGTCATGGGAACGTTACTTGTTCTTCTATGATAACTTCCTGTTTCATTTCTTTGACGTCGAGTTAGAGAATCATGTATTTCTCCTTCTATTAAACCAACATATCTCTCTGCAAAACCTCCAGGACTGATCCATTTTTCCAATTCTTCCGCGGGAGACGAAAGTGTTGTGAAACCCTGAGGGAGAGAATATAGTCGAATTTTCAGCAAGTATCCTTTATCACCTAATTCTTCCAACCATTTATCCCAATTCCGAGATTGTCCACCTTGTTGCAATAAAGCATCTAAATATTCTGGTTCTTCGCAAGCTTCATGTAATGCCTCTAATGCAGTTAGTGCTACAGTTTTATTGAAATCTGACAATCGTTCTGACAATAATGTTATTGCCCAACGATAGGCATCGGCCATTCTGGCTCTGAGTATCAATCGGAGGAACTGTGTCGCATATAGACGTGTACTGTCTAATGTTGCTTCTGTAATAATCTTAGTCAATACTTTTCTATTAGGTCCATCTCTAGAATAATCTAAACTTGATATTATAAGTTTAACATAACAGTCGTGATTAGTAGCTAAAGCCAAGTCTTGTAATTTTCCTAATAAGTGAAAATCCTTTAAAATCCTAGTTCCTTTTGCTGAATGGCTCAACTGTCCGAGGAATAAAAAATATTTTTGACAACAAGTAGTAGACATATGACGAGGGGAAAATAAACATTCATGAGCAGATTGAGCTGTTCGGATACTGGAGATTTGCTCATCGACATCTTCAATTAACTCATATAATAATTTTGTACTCTCAGGTTCAGGAATTTCCAATAAACAATTTAACAAATCACAACCAGCTAATGTTGCTTCCCGTGCTAAATTGGCATTTGTTGCTAACTCCACTCTACTGTAACCATTGGAACATGGTTTAAAATAACGCACAAGCCTTTTCATAAATAATCTATGATCAGAATCATGGAGTATTCGTGCAGTATCTTCCCGTGAGCGTAATATAGATCGCACTACCGGCCAATTCCAAGCAAGAGCATCTTTAGAACTGAGTACTTGAGCATCTTTTAAAAGAGGTGTAGTCGGTGATTCTCGTCGTAACCAATGTCTGCTGGATGTTCGTTTACGCCTAGGTAATGTCGGCCTTAACCAAGTACCAGCTTGTAAAATTTTATCAAGAAATAGACTTGCTGGTGCTGGTCTCCGTCGCATCATAGTATGCATTCGTTCCAAAATTGCAACAGCTGCTAAAGCTTGATGCTTTCCAGCACTTGCATGCTCCAATAAATTTGGTAAAGGAGGCGTAAGATCACATACTTCAGAAGGCAAAAGAGAATGTGCCAGATGCAGCAATGCACCTAGTAAAACGGCTGCACGTACAGAGATAAAAGTGTCAGTAGAAACAATAGTCTCTGCTAGGGCACGATGTAGACCACATTCCAACGATGCATAAACCAGTAATGCTAAATGTATTTCTGTAATATTTGGACAACGTGATGATAAGGATGGTAAAATATACTTTCCTTCAGCTGCAACAAAACCTTCTGACAATTTCCAAGAATCACGAGCTCTACTAGGATCTACTGCTGCTAAAGCAACATCAGGTTCATCTGTCCAAGTAGGCAATGGTAAATCCAACAACTCATAAAGTAATTCTAAAACAGCACCTCTTACTTCAAGTTTTTCAACATATAATACATCTGCTATAGCTTTTAATCCTGAATTATCATCAGGTCGACAAAAATGTAAAACTCCAGAATAAGATCTTAATATACTTAATAATGCCAACTTGCTTGCTGCAAATCTTTCTCGTTCTTCTTTTGTTCTATCTATACTTGCAGAATGAAGCTCACAATAGGGAGCTGCAAAACACAGAAGAGAAATACTATTCCTTGTATCAGGAGTATTTAATAATTTTAGTAAAACTCCTACAACAGATTCAATTATAGCAGGACTTTGTCCAGTCATGGCAGCTCTTGCAAGGGCACTAATTCCTCCACAACTGATTAATAAATTTGAATTTAAAACACCCAATTCACAAAGAGTTGCTAAAAATGCTCGAAATGCTCCGTCTTTTTCTTCAACTCCTCCATTTGTTAAGCTTATTAAAGATCTTGCTAAAATAGGACTAAAATGTTTTGGAGCTAATACTAAAATTCTTCTAACAAGTCTAAGAGCCTGCATTCTCTCCATTTCATTTCGTAAATTAACATCCATACTTCTAGCCACAAAGTATGGATACTGTAATTTATTAATTGCAATAACATCTTGTTCCTTTTTGAGCATGTATCGTATAGCTCGTAATGCAGCTGCACGAACTTGTGTTGCTTCATGCACAAGTCCCACCCGTAAACTATAAAATAAATGTTAAATTACAATTAATACATATACAAACATATTACATAAGATAATATATTTCTTCTAACAAAGTATTCTTAAATTCTTACCAACAAAATACATCATTAATAGGATATCCATAGTCTGGTGAATCATTTTCACTAATTAATTTAACAATGGCATTAAGATAGGCTAATTTTTTTATACTTGGAACATTCTCACGTTGACAAAGATTGGTCAAAACTTCTTTCACATTTTCTCTCAATCCTGTGAAACAAATTTTTAATTAGCTGAATAAATATCTTCATACTACAGTTTAATTACTGCTATATTGAAAGACTTACAAATATTAATATCAGATTAATTTTGTAACTTTCATTAAATCAGATCTTTAATTGAATTTTTTATCTTTTTTTTTTGTTTGTTAATTTTCTTCTAGAACTTAGAAAAAAAAGAGATCTATCACTTCATAAGATGCAAATGAAAGATAAACATGCATATATAATCACAGACCGATATAAATACGATACGAAATAGCTATGTTATTTTTACGAAGTATGATAGATACAAAGTTATAGGTTACAGGTTAGGTTACTAACCTCTTGACAGATCAAGTTGCACGCAGCTGTCTTCACTCTCCTGACGACCTATAAAAAGAATACATAAATAGGAAACGACGTAGTTTTAAAATAAAGAAATTGACAGCCAATGTTAAGCGTACTTCGATGAGATCTGCTCGTACGAAGACTCCTGCCCCAGATCATCCAACTAGAAATTGCCATTTCTTTACCGGCTGCTACCCACGATCACAATCAACACTTTTTGTCCGATTGTTACTACAAGTCTTTTGCATGATATATGTCATTCTCACCGTTAACCCGAAGCCCGAAGCACTATAAATGCACTACTGATAAATCAAGTGTAACACGAGTCAAGTGTTACATGAGAACGTTGCACTCAATATACCGCACTCTTCGAGAAAATTGCAAGTACCTGAAAAAGTTACGAGAACCGCGATAGACATGCAATTATCGAGAAAATGTGCTTTCTTTTTATAATTCTCTCTTGGATCGTAAAAAATGCGTACGTTCCGTACTATTTTCTTTTTTAAACAATATTTTACAGGTACAAGTTCTGTATATTAGATGCTTTATTTCTGAAATCGTAATATATTTCCCGTTCTACGACGGTATAAGCAAAATATGCTGTATGACATGCTTGACTGGTCTAGACTAGTCACTGTTCAGAAGATTCAATTCTGAAACACTAATGTTTTGTATCTTATAGATCACTTCATATAGTTACTTCGATAAAAAGCTTGTTATATTCTATTAATTGTATAATATTCGTACATTGATAGCAAAAATATGTAAATAGGTATGATTTTATTAAAATGCAAAATATTTGTTTAATTATTGTAAAAAATTTTAACACACGAAAATAGAAAAAGTCACAAAAAATTGATTATGGTATAAGAAGTAATAACAGAATTGATTGTTCTGAACATAAACTAATCGTGATAGTTATTATTTTGTTAGAATTGCAAATTATTTGTATTTAATAATTACGTTTAAGCGCAAACGTCATTTTTTAATCCTTATAGATGGACACACTGCAGTTGCGAATTACCTTTCAACATTGAGTGATTAAGAGAAGAAAACATTTATTAGAATTTTAGAAAAATGGCATATGTAATGAATAATTTAGTTCAGCCTAATATAAGTTCAGTTGCCAGTAACTTAGGCCCAGATTGGCTTTCTTCTGAACAAAGTACAGGAGTAAGTGTCAATAAATCTTGATATTAACACGTTTTGAGGTTAGAATGACAATGCAAACTTGTTAACTTACTCATTATTTAATGAAAGTTTAAAATAAAATTATCTTGTTTTGTTATATTTACATTATATCTGCATATAATTTTATGTTAATATGTATAATTTTAATATTTCTTTCATGTTAATATGTATAATTTTAAAATTTCTTTCATACACAATGTAAATTTTATCTTTAAAGTAAGACAATTTTTATCATATTTTATTTTTACAAATAAATCTATCAATTTTTAAAAAATCATTTCATTAAACAGACATCAATTATGGCTTGTGAATTTGATGGAGGAGTAGTAATTGGAGCAGATTCTAGAGCCACTACTGGGTATGATATGTTTGAAATTATTTTTCATTAATGTAACAATAATTGTGCAATTAATTTCGTGATTAATCCATTCTAGGGCTTATATTTCCAATCGTTTTGCCGATAAATTAACTAAAATCACTGATTACATTTATTGTTGTCGTTCTGGTTCTGCAGCAGATACCCAAGCAATTTCAGATATAGTTGCTTATCATTTGAGCCTGCACAAGTAAGTAGATTTGTCTATGAATGTATGTACTTAGAAATGTTAAATTATGAAAAACATGTGTTTTACTCTTATAGAATGGAGCTGGGCATGGAACCATTAGTAGAGACAGCAGCAAATGTGTTTCGTGAATTATGTTACAATTATAGAGATTCTTTGATGGCAGGAATCTTAGTGGCAGGATGGGATAGTCGTAAAGGAGGTCAAGTTTATAGTATTCCCCTAGGTGGTATGTGTGTAAGACAACCAATTTCCATTGGAGGATCTGGTTCAACTTATGTATATGGTTACATGGATTCACAGTACAAACCAAACATGTCAAAGGATGAATGTGTTAAACTTGTTGAGAACAGTAAATAGTTAACAATTTTTTATTAATACAACACGATTATAAAATGGATTAATATTAATGATACCTTTTTATTTACACAGCATTGGCATTGGCAATGTCTCGCGATGGTAGCAGCGGTGGTGTTATCCGAATTGGTGTTATTACGGAAAAAGGTGCTGAAAGAAAAGTTATATTGGGCAATGAATTGCCGCAATTTTACGAAGGGTAAATGTTGCAAACATTAAATTTATAAACGGAATACTTACTCCAGCTTCACTCCATTTTTTAAGATTCTGTATCAACCACGTCTTATTTCCTAATTAAATTAATACAAAAAAATATCTATTTTCTATTTCTTTTACAAGTGTAATTCATCCCAAATGTACATGCATGATATGCTTTCTCTATGTAGTACATGTTTTAAATAGATTGCCAACAAGCATCGTATGAACGCTTATAGCAGTTTTGAATAGCTATTGATAAATATTTCTTTGACACCCGAAAATTATCTAAGAACTTGGTTGAAACGCGACCGTCAATGTGATCAAACACATCTATACGACTACTACCATATTTAGGTCGTATTATCCACTTACGATTCACTCTGGCATATACCCGGTCGTTTTAACTTCGTACTTAATGTCCATTGTCGATTTAATGAGAAAATTGTCACAATGGCACAATCGTGATGTGTGCAATCGTATCGAGCCGCTTCGAGCTTCTGGCTCTTTTCAGATGAACTGTCACGCTAGTTGTGGCCGGTCTTCCGTGATACCCATTACAACCTTCCACGCCACGCATTAACTAACGTGTCATAAATTTGAAATAATTTATCATTCAATTTAATGTGAATGGAATTACATTTTTTGTCCAACTGTTGATGCGTACATCACACGTGTATAAAACATTGACATTTTCAATTTTTATTGTTACATAAATTTCAAATTGCTGTTTGCAAATGTATCAGACTCGCAATAACAGAAGGTCGCAAATACGCAATTCTTTTTAATAAATTAGTTTTAATGGATTGAAAAACTATCAAGTACAAAAATTAAGGTAAGCATTGTTCTCCAAATAAAAATGTAACAATTCTCTCTATTTTTACACTTCTTTCTTCATTCGACACATAACAATTTATAATCAATGCTATAACGTCTTTTTACTTTACTTGTTTTCATAAGAGGGAAACTCTTATTTTTATCTACTTTTTGTATTTAAAATTTTGTAATCAAAAAAGTTATTGATCCTCAAAAGGATTTACCTTCCAATTCAAAACGCCTGAAGGCGTTGGAACAATCACAAACATTCCATTTTGCAACAAAATGACCGCGGAGGATAGCATGGAGGACCGTCAACCGAATTGGTCGCAGGACATGCCAACGGTACAAGAAGTCGGTGAAATGATGCGAAGTTTTGGTATATGGGATTACACGGTCTTCGCGTTCATGTTGGCTACTTGCGGTTTTGTTGGCATTTACTTCGGATTTATTAAAAAATCGTCAGGAGAGGATGAGTATCTTGTAGGTGGTAGAAACATGAAGACGTTCCCTGTTAGTTTGAGTCTTATAGCCAGCTTCATATCAGGTAGGATTTTACATGTAATTCTAGTTATTCATTTGCAATAACGGCTCTTATTTTTATTATTCTTTTCTCAATATATAACTGTCATTAAATTATAATAACAATAATAGGTATTTCGTTATTGGGCACACCGACGGAAGTTTACGTACACGGTATTAGTTATCTTTATATCGGTTTCGGAGTAATCATCGTCGGCTTTGTAACATCAGGGATCTATTTACCGATTTTTCACGAGCTCAGACTTACAAGTACCTACGAATATCTTGAAAGACGGTTCGATAGGAAGATTAGAACATTAGGATCAGTGCTGTTCTTGATCGGCGTCGTGAGTTATTTCAAACTATTGAATTTTATTTAATCTCGTTCATTCGAACTTTCTCTAACAAAAGATAAACGATCTTATTCTTTTAGATGACATGGCTTCCTATTGTCATTTACGTACCGGCGTTAGCTTTCAACCAAGGTATCGAATGCGCAGCTAATAATTTTAAATAAAATTAGTCACATAAAATTAACGTTGCAAAAAAAAAAAATAAACAAAATAACGTATTTACAGTTACGGGAGTGAATGTGCATGTAGTTACTCCGTTCGTGTGTATCGTGTGTATTTTTTACACTTGTGTGGTAAGATATGTATATATAATTCGTAGATTCGTAAAACTGTCCTCTTAACAAGATATAAAACAATTCACCGTTTACTAGGGTGGTTTACGAGCAGTAGTATGGACCGATTTTATTCAGACTTTTGTAATGTTTGGCTCTATGATATTAATCGTCGTTAAGGGAACATCCGATGTAGGTGGATTTTCGTTAGTAATAAGAAGGAATCTAGAATCTGGAAGACTCGAATTACCGACGTGAGTATTATAATATCATTATTTGAAATGAAATAATGATTATAAAGCACAAGAATCGTCAATTTCTGAATAGGACAGATTGGAGTCCTCTTACGAGGCATACAATATGGTCCCTCGTTGTCGGTGGTTTCTTTCATTGGTTGCAAATATCTGTTATCAATCAAAATATGATACAAAGATATCTTGCATTGCCCACGTTAAAATCAGTTAGGAGGTATATCCATTATTTTCAATCCAAATATTTTCACACTTGTGAAATTTTCGAAAGAAATTATTCTGAGTAATCTGAAGCACGAAATGGGATACATTTCAGAGCGCTTTGGTCTTTTATAGTTGGAGTCTTGATTTTAATAGGAATATGCGGATACGCGGGAATGTTAATATATGCCTGGTACCATGTATGTGATCCACTTACAACAAAGGTAATGATTCAACTTCCCTGATAGTCTAATTCCACGATACATCATGAACTGGGAGTAATAGAAAGATTTCATTTCCAATATATATCACTCTAATGTCTGACATTTCATACTTTACATCCTGCGAATATTTTACAATCTTTACCATTAATTTTCATTGTATATTCTATACTTTTAATAATAAACTGATGTTAAAAAAAAATTTTTTTTCCATGTAGTTAGCAGGTGCGAAGGATCAATTGTTACCGTTACTTGTTATGAATATATTAAACGAATTTCCGGGTCTTCCGGGTCTCTTTGTTGCTGGGGTATTTAGCGCAGCATTGAGGTAATATTTTTACCTATACATTTATGAAAAATCAAGATTCAATTGCTCTCGTATTTTAGTTCTTTATCTACTGGTTTGAATTCCATGGCTGCGGTCGTGTTGGAAGATTTTATCAAACCCTTTAGAAAAACACCCCTTTCCCCGAAAGCTGCGGATATTATATTAAAGCTGACGGTGGTTGTTCTTGGAGTAACCTGTGTGGCACTTGTATTTGTCGTTGAAAAAACAGGATCTCACGTGTTGCAGGTATATAATGTGTAGGAATTTAATTTAAAAACTTACATTCGAAGCAAAATCTATTTTAGTTATCTACGAATTTGGCCTCCATCACCAGTGGACCGTCTCTTGGAATTTTTAGCATGGGTGTTTTACTGCCCTGGGTAAATGCGAAGGTATGCTGAAATTCAATGTAAAAATGGTAAACGTATATATATATATATATATA